TACTGCTACGCCAACGAAGATGAGGTCGGTGCCGGCCTCAAGGAGGCTTTCGCCAACGGCGTCAAGCGCGAGGACATCTTTGTCGTCACCAAGCTGTGGGCCACCTACACCATTGGCGACGACAAGGTCAAGGAGGGCCTGGAGAAGAGCTTGAAGAGCCTGGGTCTCGACTACGTCGACCTCTTCCTCGTCGTAGGTTTCCCTCACTCACATTCCTGACTAACATATCAAGAAGAGAGAAGAGACTGACAACAAACAGCACTGGCCCGTCGCAATGAACCCCAACGGCAACCACGACAGGTTCCCCACCAAGCCCGACGGCTCCCGCGACATCATCCACAGCCACTCCCACGTCGACACCTGGAAGTCGGTCGAGAAGCTCCTCGACACGGGCAAGGTCCGCTCCATCGGCGTCTGCAACTACAGCGTCAAATACCTCGAACAGCTCCTCCCGCAGGCCAAGGTCGTGCCCGCCGTCAACCAGATCGAGAACCACCCGAGCCTGCCCCAGCAGGAGATCGTCGACTACTGCAAGGAGAAGGGCATTCACATCATGGCCTACAGCCCGCTCGGCTCCACGGGTGGCCCCCTGCTGACCGCGGCGCCCGTCGTCAAGATTGCCGAGAAGCGCGGCGTCAGCGCCGGTACCGTCCTGTTGAGCTACCACGTCGCGCGCGGCAGCACCGTGATTGCAAAGTCGGTGACGGAGAGCCGGATCAAGTCCAACTTGGAGATTGTTAAGCTCGATGATGAGGATCTGAAGGAGCTGCGGGCGTACTCTGACGATTTGACGGCCAAGAAGGAGCTGAAGCGCTACGTGTACCCGCCATTTGGCATCGACTTTGGATTCCCGGATAAGTCGTAGATTCTTTTGTCCTTTTTACCAGATAAATAGAGCGAAGAAATAGAAATAATTTAAAGCGTATTCTCGTCTACAGAAACTGCTCCACTGATTGTGGTGAAAAAAAAAACTGTCTGAATGACGGGCGTTCTGTGAGGCACATGTTTGCGTTGGATGTGTTCGTACTTGTCATTGCCCCGGGTTGTTCTCTATGTCCCAACTGCCTCGGTGAAATAACACCAAACTTCACATTGCACACAACGATCAATCACTCAAACACGGCTCTCCCAAAATGTAACTGAAAATCATCACTTTTTATTTATTCATTTATTTACAGTCGCTATCATTTCTCTAATTCGACGTATCCACCAAAACCTTGAGCACCAGATTCCCACTCTCGTCCTTAACTTTGGCCGCCATGTCAAACGCGTCCTTGATGGTGCTCAACCCCTTGTACCGGTGCGTAAACAGCTTCTCGAGCGCGGGCAGGCCCTTTGGTTTCGTGGCGATGAGGTCGATGGCCTTGGGGTACGTGTTGGCGTACCGGAACACGCCGACGAAATCAACCTCGCGCAGCGCCGCCGCCGAGATGGGCAGCGTCTGGATCGGGGTGCCCATGCCGATGATGAGGATCTTGCCGCCTGGGCGTGTGGACTGGAAGAACCACTTGTCAGTATGTATACCTCGGCCTCCGAGAGTGGGTATCTCGCGAACAAGAAAGAACTCACAAAGATGGCAGTCTGCATGCACGTCTCGACGCCGGTACACTCATACGTCGCATTCACCTCGCCCACCGCCGCCCCTCCGATCTCGGCCTTCTTGACCAGCTCCGCGACGCTCTGCGCGTACGCAAGCTTGTCCTCGATGGTCTGCGGGCGCTGCGCGGGGACGACGACGCCGGCGTCGGCGAAGCCGTTGTCGAGCGCGAACTGCACGCGGTCCGCCTGGATGTCGGCGATGACGACGCGCTGCTGGTCGGCTTTGCTCACGGCGGCGCAGAGCAAACCCACGGCGCCGGCGCCGAAGACGAGGACGGTCGAGTTGCTGGGGAGGTTGCCGCGGTCGCGGGCGTGCATTGCCACGGAGAGGGGCTCGGCGAGGGCGCCGAATTCGAGGGAGACTTCTGAGGGGAGCCTGTTTTTTTTAGGTCAGAGGTTAGCATACCTTTACACCTCACGAGAAAGCTCCAAGTAGTTTGCGCCGGCACTTACTTGTGACACCACTTTGCCGGGTGGTTCACCAGCTCCTGAAGGGTGCCCTGGGCATGCGGGAACGCCTTCGCGGAGCTGCGGAACTTCATGCCCTTGCAAATGTTGTAGCGGCCCGCGGCGCAGAGCTCGCAGGCCTCGCAGGGCTGGCCGACCTCGAGGGCGACGTGGTCGCCGACGGCGAGGTTAGAGACGTCCGAGGCGACGGCGGTGACGACGCCGCTGGACTCGTGACCGAGGGTTAAGGGTTCCCGCACGAGGATGTCGCCGTTGCGGAAGTGGTTGTAGTAGTGCAGGTCGGAGCCGCAGAGGCCGGTGGCCTTTACGGCGACTTGGACTTCGCCTGGCGCGAGGGCGGGGAGTTGTCTTTGTTCCTGTCGCTCCGAGTTAGATCTTGCGTTTGACGGTGCGTCTGCCTGGGATTCTCGGAGCTTCCTGAGGAGTGGTTGTTGGACTTACGATCTTGAGGTCCCTCGCGCCGTGAAGGACGGAGGTCTGGACTTGGACACTTGACATGGTGGGCTATGTACTCTTACTGCTGGGTGAGATGTAGAAGTGATTTGGAGAGGGAAGAAGAAAGCTACGACGATGTTGTTAAGAGCAAGGGGTATGTAAGTGCGAAAGTGGTTCCAAGAAATTGGAAGCTGTTGAGAAAGTGGGCAGGACGGCCAGTTATGAGCATGCTTTTACTTTTTGGTCAAGAGCAGAGCAGCGCAGAGCAGGTCAAGGCAAGGCAAGGTACGTATGGTTAAACACAAGTCCGATATCGACGGATCGGAAAACGCGACTTAAGTCAAGCTACTAGGGGTGGACGCGAATCGGCGGAGGCGTGTGATGCAAAACGGAAATGCGGGTTACGAGAGAGACTTGGTCGGTGGGGGGAAGCACCGAGCTACTCCTACCAAGCAAGCCGACGACCTGGGAAGCTGCTAGTTTTGATCTATAGCCGAGTGAGGAATTCTCGACTCGGCTCGAGTACAAGTACGCCGAAACATCCATCTCTAGATTCAAGTGTCAAGTTACCTAGCCAGCCTCCAAAGCTACTGGAACCTTGGAGACTCAGGGGCGAGCTTTTAAGATGCTCGCCGTTGCAGGCCAGTCACCAAGTGTATCGAGTACCAGGTACGAGATGATGACACTTGCGACAGCTGGACAGTGCTGAAAAGAGGGGGAAGACTAACACGGAATGGATATTCTTGCTTTGAGAAAGCATTGCTGGACACACGGTTCGTGTGGAGTTGTGGAGATTTAGAGCGAAAAGGCAACCGGTCAACATGACTAGGTAACTTACGAAAGTACGAATACATGGTCAAGTTTGAGCTTTTTCCCGGAAAGAATGCCGCGTCCGCCTTCGAAGACGAGGCGCATCGTGGATTGGCTCAATGGGGGATGTTGCGGGATGAAATCTTGATGGACCATGGAACGAGTGGAGGGGGCGCGGGTGGAAAGAGGGGGAGGGGCAATCCCAATTGCCAATTGTCAAGTCAGCCTCTCAGTTTCTTCCTATGATACCCGCGGGTTATGGACCCTTACTCAACTCATACTACGTACAAGTGGTGGTGAAAGTGACCCCCATCCAATATGGGCAATACACGCCGAAAAGTCAGAGGGGATCCCGTCGCGGGGTTGGAGAAAACGGCCGCGGAGGCCAAACACGGCAATTCTGTCCTAAGGCGGACGCTACGTATCTTTCTCCTACTTTCCATATTGCAGAGTAGGTACCTACGACTTTTATACCCCGGAAAAAGCTAAGAAAAGGGACAGATGCGACTGGGCAATCCCGTCGAAGAGGGATGGCAAGACAGCCCGAGGGCAATCGAGAATTGACAATTACAGCATCGGTGATTCGCAGAAGACTCGGGTTCTTTCCTATCCTCATGCTTTCAGTTTGAGCCAGAGACTTTTTTCCTCTCTTTCGTGTTCTTCTCCTCTTCCCCACCCATCGTGGCTTTTTTTCGTTCTTCTCCGACGTGCGGGGAGAAGGCCAGCGACTAATCCCACTTTACCGTCACCTAGCGTTTCTTACGTGGGGGTACCGGCCCGAGTCTACTGCTGTCAGGTATTCATTACCTTCGCTTTCGCCCTCAAGTCATTCTCGACGCCTCAATGCCAATTACTCCTGGTCTCTCATGTTGCAAAAGATGTAATATGCTGTAGTTGGATTCTTCGAGTCTTCCACGGCATTGCGATGAGTGCCAAAGGCTGGTTGGAAGAAAACATAAAGTCGGAATTTAATGGCCCAGGCACGAAAAAACGACGTCAGATGGCCGCGATTGGAGATGCCCCTGAACCCTGGCAATGGAGGGGTAAAAAAAGAAAAAAAGTATCGAGTACATCAGGTACCAAGGTACAATCGAGACGACGGGAAATGCCCCGCACCTCTCTCCAGCTTGAATCGTGAGACTCCCACGCCGCGCCTTGCCCCGCGTCAATGGCTTCTGTCCTACGGTGTCAGGAGTACATTTTTTTACTTTCCTCACTTTTTTGCATGTCCCGTGAGCAAGTGTTCCAAATCAGGTTCAAGAAGTCTCATGCTGTCCGAAGTCAATGGCCTGTAGAAAACGCTGCAGGCGGGCTTCGTACCGGGGATCATTCGGTAACAGAAGGTTAGCTTAGCTTGCCCATCTCCCAAAAGCTTGTCCGTTTCGCCGGGGAAAGGAGTACCTTTACAAGCTTGATGATCTTTTATCCGTTCCTCCATGAAGTACTGAATTGCGACTTGACATTTCTGCTCCGACCTCGCCCAATCAAAGTCCACTCACTTCAAACAGCTCCCCATTCATATAGCTCCCTCCACGCGCATCTTCCCAAGCTTTCCACCTTCCCGTAGCTTCTCCTTACTCTCGTGATACCCTTCCACCGCAAGACACAACCTCACACACCCACACAGTCTCTATCTATCTGTCTATCTCCTCTTATCTCTCATTGTTACACACACAACTGCCCCCAAAATGGCCTCCTCCTTCTTCTCCCTCGAAGGCCAAACAGCCCTCGTAACAGGCGGCACCCGCGGCATCGGCGCCGCCGTAGCCGTAGGCCTCGCCGAGGCCGGCGCAGACATCCTCCTCGTCCAGCGCGACGAGTCCTCCCAGTCCACAAAGCAGGCCATCGAGAAGCTCGGCCGCAAGGCCACAATCTACACGGCCGACCTCAGCTCGCAGGAGAGCGTCGCCGCGCTGGTGCCCAAGGTCCTCAAGGACGGCCACGAGATTCGCATTCTCGTCAACTGCGCGGGTATCCAAAAGAGGCATCCGTGTGAAAAGTTCCCCGATGAGGACTTCAACGCCGTGAGTTTTTGCTACTACTTACTACATAGAGACGCGTACCGAGCATAGTGAAGAATGTTGAACTGACACACTCCAAAACAGGTCATGCAAGTCAACCTCAACTCCGTCTTCACAATCACCCGTGACGTAGGAGCCCACATGCTCAACCTCGCCCCGCACCCGACAACCGGCCGCAAAGGCTCCGTCATCAACTACGCCTCCCTCCTCACCTTCCAAGGCGGCTTCACCGTGCCCGCCTACGCCGCCTCCAAGGGCGCCGTCGGCCAGCTGACAAAGTCCTTCGCCAACGAGTGGACGGCCAAGGGCATCACCGTCAACGCCATCGCGCCGGGGTACATTGAGACGGAGATGAACACGGCGCTGTTGAACGATAAGGAGCGCCTCGCTAGCATCAGCGCGAGAATCCCCGCGGGACGTTGGGGTACGCCTGAGGATTTCAAGGGCACGTCGGTGTACCTTGCGAGTCGGGCGAGTGGGTATGTGAGTGGGCATGTTTTGGTTGTTGATGGTGGCTGGATGGGTCGGTAAAGAGAGGGTTTTGGGAGACGAAAGGATTCGGGAGAGAAGTGCTTCACCGGCAGAAACTTAGACGAAAATAATGAGAAAGAACGACTATTCAAAGTTACGTTGCAGGGACATCGTCACGAAACAAGTACACCGAATCTCATGAGCCATACTACATTACTACAGCTAACATGGATACTGCATTACAACAACGAAGCCTAGATCTTGCTAGACATGACGCTCTCCATCCATGGGTACACCGACCCGTTAGCCATGGGGTATCCCATATGCAATGCCCCCGAGAAGAACCTGGCCTCCTTGGGCGTGCCGTACTCGAACAGCATCATAGAGTCCTCTATAGGCATCAATCCGTCCAGAGTACCCTACATCGGCGTGTCAGTCACTTCGCCCATGCGAGAAAAAACAGAGCCGTTGGACTTACGTTAATCAACAGCAGCCGCGTCGAGGGCTTCTCAATGATACCAGTCTCCAACAGCGAAAACTTCTTCTGCACGCCCGCCTTGTATTCCTCCACGGACTTGTAACCATGCTTCATGGCCATGGCGGGCGTTAAACTACAAGCTGCATTAGCGATATGATCTCCAAGCAGCCCTGGACAGACTTCACTCACAGGAATGGATACTCGTGACCATCGGCCTTCTCCAGCCACTCGGGGTCAAAGAAGTAATGGCACCCAGCGCCCTGCGCAATCGACCCGATCAAGCGCTCGCGGTGGGTATGCGCGATGCGAATGGCATAGTACCCTCCCGAACTGAGACCCCAGACCATGACCCGGCTCGTGTCGAACCGGCCGTCCGCCGCAATCCAGTCGAGCACGCTGCTCCACAGCCGGTCGGGGCTCTCAGGATCGGCTGAATCGGCGGGGCAGTCGGCCGTGCCGGGGATCTCGACAATGACGCTTCCCCACCCGCGGGCGAGAAACTCGTCGGAGCGGACGGTGTTGTCGGGGCGGTACCCGTCAAGACCCGTCATCAGGATCACGACGGGGCTGGGCTTGCTCTGCGACGCGCCCGGGGGCACTCTCACGTATGCTGGAATGGACTTCCAGTCCCCGCCCTTGGCGTGGGCGTGCGGGATGTCGATCTCGTCAATGGGGCAATCCCAGGATTGCGCCGCCTTCATGTATGCGCGCTTTTGAGCCTCCCACGCCTTCCACTTGACCTGGCAACTAATCTCGGGGTAGGCCGTGATGTAGGGGAACCGGGCGATTCGGTAGACCGTGCAGGCTCTGAGGTATAGGTCGCTTGCTTCCTTCTTGTTACCGGCCATGATCGCCTCGTCCCCCTTGGAGGTCAGCGACTCGGCGATGGGGAAGAAAGCCTCCGTGTAAGCGGTGGAGTTTCCGTCATTGATGTTGTTCTTGCGTATTGTCAGTCGCTTCTCTCTCCACTGCCTCTCTTCAAAAGCAGCTAACCTTGATTAAGTGTTCGAAAATGGGCTCAAAGTCCTCATACTGCCCATCGTGGAAGGGATACACACTCTTGGTGCACTATATTGTGCCAGTCAGCATGCTACTCCGTCAAAGATTCATGTTTTCTCGCGTACCGGAAACTTCCACTTGGTCTCCCAGAGGGCCTTGATACCCTGGTGATGAGGCATGGTCCTCTCAAAGGCTTCAGTGCCCATCACCCACTGCCGCTTGCCATCCTCCTGCTCCGGAAGCTTGTGCGGCGACATGATGTAAGGTTTTTAGGAGACGACCCGAACGGATCTCTGCTTCGTGAACAATGGCAGTCGGCCCTTGGCAATGTGTACTGGCTTTACTTTGCTACTGCTTCGGCGGCGAACAACTTCTCGGCTGGACGTTCTGCTCAAGACTCTGCTTGCGGTATCAGTATATTTTCATCATCCGGCAGGCTAATTCAATGCAACAAAAACAATATTTGCATTCACACACCCTTGAAGCGCAATGTGGTTTTAAAGGAGAATAGCAATGCAGTGGTGACTTACTCTGACTGAAGTGAAGCGATTCGCACGCGAACAATGGCAGAATGCAGGTCCTCGATCATTGTGGGAGACAGAGTGCAACGGTGCAGAAGCTAATTTATATATGATATGAAAGTACCCTGGATCTGCAGACGCCAAATGGATCCAATGACGACGCGCGCTCGGAGTTCTAAGGGTTGGACTTGCAGACTTATGATATAGTTCCGTGGTGCTTTTGCGTCGGACTTTGGTAGTGGTAGTTGGGGATATCCGTTGTCCGATCGTGAGACGCTTGCGACTGCACGCCAGAGGGGGGGAAAAAAGGGGACATGGTGGCCGGCCGTCTTATACGACGGCGCCATGGTCAGCTCCCGTCAGCCATTTGCGACGAAAGAAGCGCTTTGGCCACGCATGTGAAGGATCTGTGAGGCGTACGAGGCACCTAAAGTGATGGCCCTGACTCTGATGTTTTGCCCGAGCTGCCTCACATTGCGGTGCGCCTGATTGTTTGGAAGGGGGAAGCTCCGATGAAGTGCGGAAGAAGCCAGGGCGGGCCTCCGTGTATGCGGTCTTGCCGCAACGATGACGGAGATGGCCGGAGGTCGTACGGCTTGGCCACAACCTGGATCCGGTCTCACTCACTTTACTCGATTGCCATAATCCTTTGTCACCTCCCCGCGCCACTGCAGACTAAACAAAGCATTCATCGCAGGAGCAACGAGAGAAGGACACCTAACCTGTCACACACTGCTTAAATTGGAGAATGCGAGTGACCAGACGCCAGAGAAACCAAACCGATTTCAGTCAAAGCATGTGAAACGCGGGGGCCAGCTTCTCGACGATCCGCGATTCAATGGCTGACGATCCGACCGGCCTGCCACGGGCAAGACAGCTATACCCTTTCCATGCCGTAAGCTTCTGGCGCCGCAGACAGGCTCCCCCATGGTGGCGCTTTGAGAAGGGCCAAAGTATGTCACGGGTGCCAGCCACTCGGGTGCGCACGCAAGTGAGCAGTGATCTGAAGGTGGTCATTGTAGACACAGTGGTGCAGTGCGACCCTCACTGCGGCCGGACAAGAACTCGTTGGCCTGGCGACAGAACAACAAGGAGATGGACACAAGCCACCAGCAGCAACTGCGGCGTGTGTGAGCAGTGAGTTAAGAGCTGTCTAGATTCGAGTCAAGTATGGGGACTGGCAGATGTGCCCGGACACGTCAAGTTTCGAGGTTGGTCAAACAATACTAGACGGACCTGAAATGGGTCGCAGGGACTTAAGGAAGAAGGATGCAGGTGGTTGATGGGTTTCTATTCTTCATTACGTCGTTCTTCTTGTCTCTTCGGAAGCGAGCTTGGCGCTCGTCTGATCTAGCATCTGGTGTCTCTAGCATCTAGAGCTTCTGTCCTAGTACTCAACATCAGCAGCTCACTGATGCAATTCGAGCCTGTAGTACAAAAACGAACGGAGCCGACCCCGGGCCCGGACCGATCAGGCGGTCTGATATGGGACGGGACGACAGCCAAAAGGCGAGTGGTGAGGCGGAGAAAACACAAGGCTACTGGGCCTTACTCTTGTCTCCCTCGTAGTAGTGGGCCATCTCGAGCCCGGCTCTCCTGAAGCCGCACTTGACGTAGAAGCCCTCGTTGGCCTCGCTACAGTCAAGGATGCTCTTGTAGCAACCGACCTTGGCTGCGATGAAATCTAGAGCCTGGATGATGCGCAAGCCGAGCTTCTTGCCCTGCTGATCCTTTGCAACGGCAATGTCTTCGATGTGGCCGACGAGACCAAGGTTATGGATGCTGTACGGAGGAAGAGCAAAGGTCAGTAGGATTCTTTTGTGGCATGCACAATTACGAGCGGCTCAAACTGACAACTTGCGCTCGACGATCAAGGCGCCGGTTCCGACAACGGTCTTGGTATTTGTGTCCTCAATGACGAGAATGTAGTATCCGTCACTCTTGGATAGCCATTGGTAGCGTTCCGCGAATTGGGCCTCGCCAATCTCACCAACGGTGGTCAAGACACGCAGGCAGTCGAGGAAACCTGTGTTGTAATCGGATTGACGAAGAGCACGCACGATGTAGCCCTCGGGAAGAGCAGCGGCGACGGTGGGGGAGACGAGGTCGTCGGTGAAGAGTCCGGCTTCAGCCATTGCGACTGCGATTACGATACGATTGCAACTACGGTATAGGAGCTGTTCGGCCGGGATAGATCTCTCGGAGCTTCTTGGCCGACGAAAGCTCGACAAAGATTGGATCGACTGGCTGGGGACGGGTCGGATTGAGCTGTCGCTAAGGTACGCTACGATGGAACGGCAGACAGAGGCGCTTTAGTCGATTGGCTGGCGAAGCTTTCGTTGGGGGAAGAGCTGCAGAGGATGCGATGCGGTGAGGAGGCAAAATGGAGAGCGAAGCGGTGAAGATATCGGAGGGAGGGTGCGATGGAGAAAAGAGAGACAGCGTCAGTGGCAGAGAGCGAGAGAAAGTGAGGAAGCACTGCCGTAGATAGGTTATTGATGTAGGCGCGATGTTTGCAGAGTTGCCCTTCCTTATCCGTCGGTCGGAGTGGGCAACTTGCGGCAAGTAAACACCCTACTGCGCAAGGTACGAATACCTGCGTCTACCAGGACAGGGTTTCAGGGCCCAGGGTGCCAGGGCAGCGAGGTAGCAGCAGCAAGCAAGGCATCGCAGATCTGCATCCACGTCGTTCACATTGTACCCATCAGGGGTTCACTCATACCTACGTGCGGATCACATCTCACTATTGTACACTCCGTAAGGTAGGCGGATATTACATTGTGCTCACTCTCAGCCCCTTCTAGTCATCAACACGGCCTCCCATCCATCCGTCCTCGTCAAGACTGCTTGAAGAACCGTAGATAGTGTCTGAAGTTTGGGAGCAGATCTAATTATTTTCAATGTAGGGTGTCCAGTCCAGGTCCCAGGAACGAGTCGAGGCGTGGACCTTGAGCTGTTGCTCCGCCTCAGCATTCCGTCAAAATGTGCCATCTCATTGGTTGCGGGAAAGGAGCTGGCCCCTAATTAAGGTAAGCTGACGTGCGGTTCCCAGGCCCGTATCCGCCTGCACGGGACGATCTCGAGGCTTTTCTGCGTGTAGCTATTCATAGTATACGGGAAGCCACTTTGAGAGAGTCCAACCCGAGAATTTGAAGAGTCGGAGAACTTGAGAAGTCCTTAGACATCGGCAGGCTTCCTTGGCTCTTAAAGGCAAGTCAACCATCGACCATCTCGAGAGACTCGACGCCATCATAATCCCACTCATCCGGATGCCTGCATCACATCACATCACATCTTCCCACCTTTGGGCCTGTCGATCGCCGAGGCAGCAAGGTACCCGGCGCATGTCCGTCCCAACCATCGGGGCCAGCCGCCGGCCGAGGCACGGGTTGGAAGCTGCAGTCTGCGGCTCTACATATTCCATGGACAGCATGATATCGCCCATGATGTACGGATAGATAAGGTAGCAAGGCTATGTACTGCTTAGGCAGTCGTGGCAATGGTTCAAGAAGCCACTGAGAAGTCGTAAACTCAATCGTGCCGCACAGATGTAAAAAATACTCAGGAGTCAAGCCACACCGAGATGCACATCTACAGTAGAATAAGGTAGGTAGCTATATCTGTAAGTGCGGGCAAAGGTGAAAAGGGGGAAAAGACCGTTCCTACTGACGATAATTGGAAGGATGCGCCTCAACCGCCTGAACCGCCTCCCACTACGACGGAGGCATCGCTGACCCTGTTTGCCTGTTACATAGCTAAAGTTATACAAGTCAAAGTACATGTACCCATCACCTCAGCATTCCTCCCGTCTGGAATGTCATGGTCTCAGCTGGTCTTCCCAAAGACAAGTGCATGTGCAAACACGGCAATGTCCCTCCAAGTCCCCTTGGTACCCTACCACCTTGCCTAACAGTAGGTAGACACTCCAGTTGCCGAGTCCTTTAGACCACTCACGTCAGGTCAGACTTGGATGACGGGCAACCTCGCAGCTACAAGCTTATCGGTTGGATGCCAAGCGAGAATGAGACGCTACAAGTGAGACGTGCACCTGCTGATAACGAACCTCACATTGTGGTGGCAGCCATCAGCTACCCCGTGCTACCTCCCTCACCTTGGACTGATACAAAAGTAAAGAAGTCTCGAGTATTCAATAAAGCACCAACTACTTACCTCACTACAAGGCGGACTCATTTTGCCTTGGATTGTGATCCCTTCTGGGCATATCGTAGAGTTGTGGAGGAGGATAGACACCTTACTTTATGGTAAGGAACGTCTTCGGATTTACCTGCTTGCTGAGAAACACTTTGATGCGTACTTTTACAGTAACTTACCTCTCTCGCCGTCTGATTTCTTCCGAATGTAGATACGCAGCTAGTGTTGACCCAACCATCACAAGCCTCATGTACACATCCAAACAGTCTGAAGCGTCCATCGCCATACTAAGCCGGTAAGCATGACCGATTCAAATCACCATCCACGCTACCATCTTAGCTATGCGATGTGTATCTAGCCCCCAACACTAGTCTCGACTTTCATCGGCTCGGGCAAATCCCCCATCTTCATCCCCATCATCTCATCTCATCCCGTCTCATCCCATCCCACCCCAGACGCTACCAGTTAGCGCCATACCAGTCGGCCAGACAAGATGGCATGTTATTTCTCCATACAGACAGGCACTTTGCCTCCTCTACCTAGGTAGGTGGTGTATTACCCCGAGACTTGAGAGAGAGAGAGAGAGAGGCGCTCACACTCACAGACCACAGTACCCCGGGACGGAGAAACGCGCCCACCCACAGAAGTCAGGGCCTTGCCATGCCATCCCGTCCCATCCTTCCTCACGCCGTCGCCATCGCCGTCGCGCGCATGAACATCCCCCACAAATTAACACCAGAATCACATGCTACCCATGCTGCCAATGGCTGCCACACCTACGGATACTTGCTACCCATCCGTACGGATACAACCCGCAGCCTGCCGAGTACATGGTGTACCTTATGTAGGAAGTACTCTTGCAGATGCTCAACGTCCCACTTACTCCTATTGGAGCCCTGGCACAGCGGCTCAACACGTCAACCCGGTCACTCTTTGCCTGAGCTTACATTGGGCTAGAACACCCCAACTGATTCCATTCCACCGCGCACCCTCGACACCCTAAAAACCACCTTACGCGGTGCCACTCACCCACTTACTGTACACTACTCCATACCTAACCGTACCAAACAAAAGTGCTCCCAGAAACGCGGGTTCGCACCTCTCTCTACATACACAGTACTGTTGCCTTCTCATGGCCTCGTTCCAGGCTGTCGTCATCAGGAAAACACAGGAAACCACGGCATCGCCACGCCCGTTACACTCGGGACGGGACTTTCGGTACAGATGTCGACAGGCCAGGCCGAGGTAGTACATTGATGCTTGTCTTCTGTCAAGTCTACTCTATTCCGGTCGTTCCACAGCCTACGCAGTATACGCCTCTCGTACTTCTGAACGCTACTACTCTGATCCTCCTACCGCTGAAGGTGCTTGAATGTTGCCACCGCTGGTAGCACGCCTATATTTCCCCCTTTCTTCACCACCTCGTCTCGTCCTACTCCCTTACCCTTAGTTCTATTAGTTGTGCTTCTTCCCTCTTTTGATTCTTCTTACGAGCTTGTACCTTCTCTGCGTCTCTAAACGTTTCATTCCCTGCTTCCCTATCCCTTCTCTATCCCCCTCAGTGTACGTTCGACATCCCCTGTTGGAACCGAGCTCGGCCAAGGTCTCGAGTATAACATGGTTTCTGCACATCCCGCATCACTTCGAGTTTAACGTCCGGAACCTTATCCCAACTCCACGTTGTCTGTCACTTAATGACCCGTGTCTCCTGCGCATGCGAGCGCCTACTTTCCGACCGTCACTGGCATCAGCCCCGACACGCCCATCAGAGATCATGGATCCGGACGACGACTGGGACGGGGACGAACACTCTCACGACCTCATCCATGTCCCTCTCGACTCTCACCAAGGACGAACTGTGCTACCGAGTCCTATAGCCAAGGCCGTCAGTCTTGCCACTCGCTCAACATGTTTAGCAATCCGTGTTGGCACCCTTATCAGCTCGTACGGCTTCGATGCTGCCAAGTTCACCACTCTATCCAGTCTGGAGCTTAGCAGGGGCATACTCGAGGGAATTTTAAGCAGGTCTGGGAGAGATATGCTCGTACGTTCCAACAGCGACCTGGGCAGAGAAGATGCAGAAACTGTCCTGGAGAGGAGCTTGGAGCACTTGCATAGTGCCATGTCGCAAATCGTTTTCTGGACTACGACCGGCTTTCAGATGACGAGTACCACCATTTCCGTCGCTTCAGAGATATCTCAGCTTCTTCTCTCGTCTCTCGACCAATTCTTTGGCTCAACTGACTCTTCACGTGCCATTGCGAGCATCATTACTTTAATTCGCCGCGAGTTTCAGAATCCTGCGACTGGTGTGGAGGGTGAGCGTGTGGGTGTTGTAGATCTGGTCATGGGCTTGTGCGCGTTGGCCTACCTGCAGCGCAAATGTCGACGTTTCCTCGACGAAGAGACAAGACGACTTGGGCACGATGAGATCGTTTGGGATGTCGTTGTACTCAACGACGGGGAGCGGGTCGACATTCACGAAAACAGCCTGTACGGTGTGCACAAAGGCCGCTACAAAAGCAAAGGTCCTGATATTTTGGTTTCCATCCCTGGAGATCAACCGAGTCCTGGTATACTAGCGACTATCGAACGACATGGCGAGCGAGAAACCAGCGAAGACGAAGACGACTACGACCTGCCAGAAATTCGCCTGAAGAATCAGATCATGCGGTCTATGCCTGCAGATACAAGCGTGTCCATCTCGACAACGACGTTGACGAGGAAGATGATCACTGTGGATTTCACGGGACCGGAGCCCCCAACTTTGACACCGCCTCCAGGCGTCGAGGTCGTCGAGCGAGAAGTTCTTTCATCTTCAGAGGGTCCAAAGGAGCAGTTGGTGAGGCATCAAGACGTCCCGACTTACCGGGTCGTCTACAGAGTCGACAAGAGCAAACATCGAAACACAACAATCCAAGGCTTCGAGGAGGCAGAAGACAACTCTGGAAAAGTGGAATCACTAGACGACACCGAGGAGTCG